AGGGATGACAGGTGGAGAGGGTAGAAAAAGAGGCTGAGAGGCACTCAACAGAAGACTCTTCATCCTACCCTGCATGGAGCTCAGGGTAGAGGAAGACAATGAGACTTAAGTGCTGTCTACAAATTACCTGCCTCTGCTGTCAGAAAGGAGTTGCCATCACCAAGCTGGCAGAGCACTAGCACACCCATCCACGTCTGGCAACTCTACACAGGTGCCCTCAGCAGCCGCGCTGCCAGAGCGAAGTGCATCAGCTGCTGAAAGACCTGTGGCCACTGGAAGAAGACCCGTGTCGAGAGCCGGGTGCCAGAAGCCTTCCTCTGGTTGCAGGAGTGGTGCAAGTCTGCTGGCAAAGAGGAGGGTGGTGCCGGAGCAGAGGAGCACTGGGTGCAAACACTATTGAAGCATTATCAGAACTGTGCCAAAAGGGATTTGTAGTGTAGACAAGGCCTTATGCTGTACAAATAGTGTTCAGAGTTGGCAACAAGAGTACCCAAGATGGTATGAATTTTTATTCAGCCCCACAGTATATCTATCTATCCATCTCAACTGGGAACTGTAGAGGGAAAATGGCCTAAAAGCTAGTACCAAGAGTCAGTACCCAGACCCAGGGAGGCCAGTGTGAAAAAATTGACTCTGCTCCAGATCTAGGATGTTCTAGTGCAGTAATCTGTTTTGATCCTTGCCCATTTTGATCACTGCTCCAAGGCCACCTGCTTAGACACGTCTACTGGTCTTTAACTATACATCTGTCTTCACTCAGAGCATTTCTGGTTGTGGCAGGTCACAAAAGAGTGACCTTAAAAATCAAAGGGCAAATTATCTGCTGGTGTAACTGCATGGGAAACAGTAGAGTTAGACAGAGATGTCGGATCCCAAGTCACATTTGAATAGTATGGTTTAGCAGAACAATTTGAGAAAAACCAGGTGGGGTTAAACAAAGAAAAATAAATAAAAAAAAAAATCGGTGCTACACAGCCAGCTATAAACCAGAGATTTTTGTTTCCAGAACTGCTCAGGTTGTAAGAGTTTAAGACCTAAAAGCAATCAAAAGCAATTTATGAACTCGAGTGGGCAGAACGGAGGTGGGTATATTCACTATCTGTGGGACCTGCAAGGGCTAGAACGACATGCTAAACCATCACTACAAGTCTTAGCGGATTCCTAATAATAAAAGGCAACTGGCAGTACACGAGATAGTGAACCTGAACATCATCACGGAGTACTTGTGCTCTCATAGCATCGATCCAATGGTACCAGTGGCAATCCTGCACTGTGAGATGCGGCGGGCAAAGACCTCTTTTCCTAAACACTTACTAGAGCAAAGGGGCAGACGGTACGCCTATTCACCAGGCTCCTCTTCACATCAGGCAGATCCCACCAAACACACTAGCCCGGGAGATTTTCTTCCTCTCTCCACAGGTCTGAACTTAGAAATGAAGAGACTGCAACCCCCCAAACATTGTAATTCCGAAGTGCTCAACAGCCTTTAATTCATTATGAACCTAGAGGCAGAGAAAAAAAAATATGCAAAAAATACATCACATCCTTAATCTAAGAGGAAAAAAAAATCAATATTTTATAGCACATAATCAGACACTTACAAATATATTTCACTGGGAATGGGGAAAGGAGGGGGAAGGAAAATATGCATTTCCTATTTCCTTTTCATAGGCTGATGCACCGCGGCCTTCAACATGGTCATCATAGTTAATCTGCACAAATCATTTCTAAACCAAAATGGAAAAAAAAAAAAAAGAGAGAAAAAAAAGGAGGGGAAAAAAAGAGGACTCCAAAATAAAACAAAAAGGAAAATCCCAGCAACAAGGAAGGGCATTCTACATTTCCAGATTCACGTTAAACATAACTCAGCATCTGAATATGGGGACAGGGAAACACACTTTTTGCGTTTTTACAATATAAATAGTATTTAAAAAGGTACTACATATGAATACAGTAATGGTGCTATTTCAGTCAGGACCTTAACATGCAGAGGCAATTTCCCCCCTCCCCCCTATTGCTCACAGCCACCCGATCCCCCCACCCCAACCCCAGTCCAAAAATGAATCCTCTGCTGTTTAAATTCTCTTTCAGTTGTTTTAAATATTTCTCTGTGGCCTTGCCACCATTAAAACATCCTTTTTTTCTTTTTTTCTTTTATACAAGCAAATTATCCCTTAAATCATTACCCAGCCAACAAGAGACAGCTGTGTAGAGTAATTGCTATAGAGGTGCAGCAGCAAATAAAGGAAAGGGGCTCTAGGTTCTAATTCTTCTTCTTCCCACCAAAACGATGTACGAACAGAGGCTTTTAAGATACTCGCCATCTTTTTTTTTCTGGTTTTTTTTTTTAAAGTATATTTTATAAAATCGACCTCAGGCCATTTCCTTTTTTTGTTTGGTTTTTTTTTGAGACAAGATTTATTTGGAGAAATTGAAAACTTAAAACAACCTAAAGGACTTCAAACTGTCTTTTCTTTCTTTCTTTCTTTAAATAAAATACATCAAAGACAAGAAAAAAGAAAAAAAAAAAAAGGTTCTCGAGGCAGCAAGAAGTGAAAGGAAATCCAGTTCCCCCAGAGGAGGAGGGACTTTTTCCATTCTCTCGGAGACATTTGAACATCCATCTAGTCTCTTAAAATGCTAATCTACCATCTGTTAGTCCCAAATTATTCCCACATCTTCCCTTCCTCTCCTAAATATCTTTCTGAATATACAGCCACTTTACAAATCACACAAAAAAAAAACCCAAAACACACTGTCCATGTTGCAAAGGGGCTCAACGAGAAAACGCGGTTCTTCCCCCGTGCATTATTTTTTGGGATGCGAGTGGAAAAGGTTGCTGAGGACACATCTCCTGGATAGCTCTGCCGTCTTGCAGTGGCTCCTGACAAGCCACGGCATTCAGGTGGGTGGGTTTGAAGGGTGCCATACAAGTACCGTGCTCCCCCCGGCCCCCATGCTCCAGAAGCCTCACCTTCCTTGCCGTTCCACACTAAGCCTACATTTTTTCTTTACTTCAAACCAGATGCAAACCCTGCGGAAGTCAATGGGAGCTATTCCACCGGCTTCAGGGGGCTTTGCATCAGGTCCTTTACACAATACTGTACAGCTCTACAGGAGGTGATCAAAGCGCTTGAGTGGGTGCTGCCCACTCAATATTTTAAGATTTGTTTCCATCTTTAATACTCATTTAATACTTAACGAACTGAGCCCGAACAAGTGCCAGGCTCTCAATCCGCTTCCCCAGGAGCATCTCAAAGGCTCACTTCTTATCTAGGTAAAAGATGTCACAACAATCAAAGGTGTTTGGGGAATTTCTTCTTTAATGGGAAAAAAAATATATATATACACACACACACACGCACACCTCCAAGGCTTCTGTCAAGGAATGATTCTCGCACTGGTAAGCAGCACAGCTCAAAAACAGAGGAGGAAGAAAAGAAAACACGGCTCCTCTGGGGGTCTGCGGATACCCAGACCCCCCCAGGAGCCAGAACAACCCCCATTCAGCCCAGTCTGTGCTGGGGCAAGGGGGTGGTTCCTAAAGGACCAAACACATGGAGCAACACAACACCTGCCAGCTCGGTGAAGGCATGAGCCACAAGCCACGCGCATTGGAGGCTGGAGAGTAACTGTGCCTGCAACAGGGGGGAAAGGAAATGAGAGAGACGCAACAAAAGCAGGGTGGGGGTAAAAACCCAATGTCCCGCTAGTTGCTCCTTCCCAAAGACAGGGCAGAAATGCACACATCCATCATCTATCCGTAGCAACCTGCTGCCAAAACATTCCAGCTATGAGACATTTCTTTCCCCACTCCTCCAAAATGACAAAACAGAACGGTTCTTGAAACAAAAGAAAAGAAAAAGAAAAAGAAAAGCTTCCCAGGATGCCTGCTCTTATTCACTCTCCCCATTGCCATTTACCACAATTCTGTCGCAGGGGGAAGGGAAAAGAAAATGACTTTTTTTTTTTTCTCCTGTTTTAAAGCCACTGTCTAGAAAAGTGATCTGCGGAAATTGTCATCTCCCTATTTATTCTTTTTATTTGTTTTTGTTTGCATTTGTTTTTCTTTTTTTTTTTCTTATTTTTTTTTTAATAATGCTCATTTATAGAAAACGTCACAAAGGTGATTCATATGTACAGAAATCACAATTCCAAAGGCTGCTTCAGTAGTCAGTGAAATAGCACCTTTCAAAGACAAAAAGAGTTTGACATGGTTTAAAAATCTGAGTCATTTCATCTTGCAATGTTAACCCCTTCCAACCCTTAAAAAAAACAAAAAAAAAAAAAAAAGAGGAGCCCGGCGCTAAGCTCCACGAGCGCACGCATCCGGAGTCTCCATGTGAAATGCTGTCCGACGGAGTTTCGAGCTCCCTATTTATTGGTCAGCAATGTGTCTAGCAGAGTAGAGGTAGCCTGTAGCCAGACACGATCGTCTTGTAGTCCCAACCAAGAGCAGATGAGAAGAATTCACAGCAGGCTATTGCACGGGGCTGGCCTTTTGTTCCACAGTTTCCTGATTATTTTTCCGTAAGGTTGAAAAGGGTTTTTTCTTTTCCTTTTTCTTTTAATTAAAACATGTTGCTCTGAGTTCCTGGCTGGTACTGCGTCTGCAACAGGGTCTCCATGAAGGCCAGGTAATCTGGGTTCTGTCCATAGTCCTCGGGATTCCTGGAATTGCCGACCCGGGGGCGCTTGGCTGCCTTCACTTCATCTCCTGAAAACATCTCTTCCTGTGGAGCCCCAGTGCTGAGAGACTACAGGAGACAGGAAAGGACAATGGTTAGAGCTAAGCAACAAAAGAGCGAACGGCACCAGCTGCCCAGGGTGCTCGTTTCACAAAACCGCCTGGGTAACCGGAAGCGAAGGTTTTGCTACATGCATGCTGGAGAGCCAGCGAAGTCTGGCGAACACAGCAACCAGCTCAGAGGAAGACGCTGGGCTTAGAGGAACCATCGAGTCTGCCTCCTTCCTGGAGTTGGGTCTCTTCCACTCTAGCTCCTGCCTCGCAAATCCAGGGCTCACTGGGCCCCTTCTTTTTCTGCGCCTTCCTAGAACAAATCACCCAGAAAACTGAAGCTTCTTTCACTTCCTACGTCACAAGGAGACAGCTCGGGGAGGGTCGCTCTCAGAATCATGCCACTATCCACACGCCAGCTCAGGGGAGAGAAAAATATCATTAGTTTCCAATGGCTTCCTTCCTTCATCCGACTCTTCTGTGTTAATGCGCTATGCGTGCCACTCTCATAGGACCCTTCCTAGCATCTCTGGGACAGGAGGTACGTAACCAAGTTAGAAGTTTCCAGGCAGATGAGTTATTCGCTTTTTAATTGCATGCCTCTCCTCTCTCCGTTACAACACCTGAAGGTCAGCACCAATCAGCGTGACATCCCCACCACACCCCATCTCACCGTTCAAAGTTACTCAGGAGCTTTGCTTGAAGGCAGGGCTGTGGCCAGGAAAAAATGTGATCCCTCAGAAGTGCAACATCGGAGTTGCCCCTGCCTCCAGAACTGGCAGGGATTTTTAAAGGAGGGAGAACAGATGAGTAAATTACACAAAGCATGACTCAACTTGGAGCCTGCTGCCCTAACATCTCACTGAGATCAAGAGGATTCAAAAAGGATGAGACGTCTATAGGGATAATGAGAACATCCCGATTTACACTGGGAGAACAAAAGGATTTTCAGAAGTGGTTTAAAAAAAAACCTAACCCTTCAATCTTCCATGGCGCTCGCCAACTAATAACTGGTAACAGGTTCCTCCGACATTCCCACTGTCGGGTTATTCCACCTACATTTCCATCCTGGGGCTGAGGGGCTTTTTGGGCCACTTCTCTAACCACCTATTACTAGCCGCTGACACACATGGGACCCTGCGGGCAATGGGACTGACTTGGTCTGGCAATACCAAGGCACCTCATTTTATTTTCAATTTAATCTTCCCAAAGCTCAATTCCACACTTCTGCCTTCGGGAGGAAACAGTCGACAATACAGCCATCTAGAACAAAGCAGGCTGCTGTACGCTTTCCACAGGATCGGGTATCTGAACTCATATTCTGGCTGGAAGTGATGGCCTTAAAGGTCAAAGAAGAAAATCTGGGACGGGATGGAGTGCATCTCTCTACATCCACAGACTCCATTTCTATGGAATCTCAATGCAGACCTTCCTAATCTGGAGGTTAATTCACTTCCATGCAGTTAATTATGTATTGGTCTTTTGGGTGAGAATTCAAACAAATGGGCCCTGTGTTCCACATCCACCATCAAAGTCCTTTGAATAGCTTGCAATTGGTAAGAGCAGCGGTTTGTCCCAGTTTAACCGACCAGCTCCCCAGACACCAGTGGACTGTGGTCCATCTCAACTGATTACTCTGAAGTTGCAGGATTTCCATGACAAAGTTTGTGCGATTGGCCTCCTAACATGACCAGGATCTCTCATCTAGGTACGGTGTCTTGACATGCAGAAGAGGACTTGTTTAAAACCTTTTCAAATGGCTTAATGAATAACTGTAAAACTCTAGGCTGTTTGTGAATGAACTGGCATCTTACAAAAGCTGGGTCTTGCTTTTCAAGTCATGTTTAAAAGAAAACTGGCCGAGCCTCTGAGAGCAGAAGTTATTTTATTTTGCTGCTTCAATACTTACCAAGCGGGATTTCACTCTCTTGGGAAGCTCTTCCTCCAAGGTGTAAATATCACCACGCTTTACCATCAGCTGGGAACCATCTTCAAACTCCACCTGCGGAGAGAAGAAAAGCCATCATCAGCTGACTGGCTTCACCATTGACTATACTTCAACATCTCCCAAGCTCTGAATTTTCTCACCCCTTCTCATCTAAACTTAGAAGTCTTCAAAGCTCTCCAATGGACATTGCAATATTATTGGGAACTATTAAAGGAAGCGCATACTCAGCCCTGCTGTAACGTCCCTGAGATAGTCTCATTAGAGCCCGTTCTCCTTCTGAGATGAGGCAAGTTTTACACAAGCCAAAATGAAACAATGCCAGCTACCAAAATACATTTATGTTTTAACAAGCAATAACAATCGGTCAGGTATTACCAAATGGCATCAACTCCTCACCCCAAACCTCTCTGAGCACTGATTATATCATGAATTATGCAACAAGAGATGTTACAGGGATGTTTATTCATCAAAATGAGCATGTAAAATTTTACATGATAAAGTGTTCAAAGCCTCTTGCTTCCTTTGCTCCAGACTCTACCCTCCTAAATAATGTAGAACCACATGCAGCACCATTTAAGAGAAAGGTACAGGCTGGGTTAAATTGGAAAAACTCAGTGAATGGAAAGAAACCATGTTCTGAACTCCCCTATCCGTGGCCCCACACTGTGCACCGATGTTGTGACTCGTCAGATATGCAATAACCACTGAGCTTCTCAAATCAAGAACCATGTGTCAGCTGTAACAGTTATATGCAAAGGAGTGAATTATAAGCAGACTTTAATCTTCCACTCCAGGAACACCCAGACAAGTTTAAAGACAAATTTTGGGGTCAGCACTTACAAACTCAACCTCTAAATCTAATGTGCAAAGCCTGGACTTAGTGGCTGGCTGCACAGTGAAGCTACTGCAAAATAAGCTGTGGGGAGGAGGGGGGAGGGAAAGGAAGGTGAATTTAAACCACAAAAGGTATCCCGCACTACCTCAATGTGTGGATACACTTATTCCATGCTAAAAGTGCTTTGGTAAGGTTTAGTTTAATCCAGTTCTAAAGTGGACAAAAAAAATAAGGCACGATTAAGTGAAGGATAGAACTGCTCATACAGGAAACTAGTATGAAATGACTTTTCAAAGCTATTTCTGCCTGCTTGCAGGTAACTACAGGAGATGCAAAAAGCACATTTTTCTCTCATTTAGCGCTGGCAACAGCATTGCTTATTTTCAACCGTTTAGCCTTTAATGTTATTCTACACAATCAATGTCAAATCCCTACATTCTGATTTAATCAGAAAGCGCATACGAAAAATAGATCTTCCATGGACTGATACAAAAGTTAAATTTATTTAAAATGCGGGTTAAATCAGGTTGTTTCCCTTGCAGCAGTTAAGATCCATCATATCGAGGAGATCATTATTGTGCAAAGCCGGATTACTATGCTCTTCAGCTCGCAAGTCAAGGCCTTGGTCATTTTGTTCCTAGAGTGAGTGGAGTTTAGTGTATGGTAGATCCTTCCTTTGAACAAAAAGCAAAAAGGGTTTTCTCTGCCCTTTTTACAGTTGCTCAGAGGCACCAACTTGTATCACACAACAGTTCTTTTCATACAGCAACAGGTGTTAATTTAAATGGAAGCGTACAGGGAACACCTGATACCTTCCCCAAATCCTTGGGATTTCTAAAGCTTTTGCGGACCCCTTAGCCTAGAGGTAGTCAAATGAACATGCTGCGTTTTGTAGACTCTCTAGTGCTGAAATACCAGCGCCATGCATGCATCGCAGTCCATTCCTCCTTTGCTGGTAATTATTAGTATTCTACCAACAAAACTCTCATATGGGGAACAGGACCCAAAACAAAGGAGCTGGTCCAGCACACAGCCTCTTAAATGACAAAACTAGCTGATTCTAGTCTCTACCAGAAAGGGAGGGAGACAACGTGGATGACAAAACTGGAGACTTAAAGGCATCCAGTTACTACTAGAGAACAGGTAAGAGAGAAGAGAGTAGAGGAAAATGTTCCCGCATGCTTCCCTGCCCATTTACCTTCCGTGACTGAAGAGACTTTCCAGGGGCAAGAGCAGTCTCTCCGGGCATTTACAGATGTGCTCTGAGAGGCAGGGCCGCTTTAATTAGCAAGGCTCAGAGAGCCGTGCTAATTAAAGCGCCAAGAGCATCATGTGCATCAGAGTCCCCGCAATGAAAAAGGGTGGCGGGGGTGCTTTTACTAAAGCTTGTGGAATGAGCTTTAGATACAGCACCCCCGCCGCCCTTTTTCAGTGCAGGAACGCTGATGCCCGCGACGCTGGAGTCTGCTGGAGCACGGTAATTATCACGCTCCAGAAGACTCAATTAATCAAGTCCGCTCCAACGCGCTGTAAGTCACAGTGCACTAGAGCAGCCTCCCTGCATGTGTATAGGCGTCCTTCCTATCCTGATCTCCACTTAAACTCCCAAGAGGGTTTTAATTATGTAACTGCCCGTGCACTAGGAGCTGCAGGTCACAAGCTAATTTAACATGGGCCATCAGACAGCTACCAGATGCTGGTGGTATCACATCACTTTTGACCTGGGTCAGAAGTGAACTGATGCCTTATATAATGCCATTAACAATCCTGAGCCATTCAGTTCCCAATTATATATTCCCCCAGTGGATACTAGTGGTCTCACCCTTCAGAAAGTCCTCTCTGTTAGGGACTTTCTTCCATTACAAGCTCCTTGGCACTGGTGAACCCTCTGTCAGAAACTATTTGCAAGAGGGACAGAGGAAGGGTTCGATTTCTAATCAAAGCAGCTTCCAGAGACTACGGCCTCTTGAAATCAATGATTTATTTTGGTTTTAGCAGAACTCTCTACCTTTAGATGGAACGCTACTTTGTGCTAAAAAAGTCCTCTATGGACACTAACAAATCCTTTGATGGTTACTAACCATTCCCTCGTTATGGATATCAATCACTGAATGGCGATGAACCACCTGCACAAACATTTCCATCCGAGAGAAAAGCTGAAAATTTAAGAGCCTTTATATAAGTGCTCCAGGAAGGGGGAAGGAGGGATGGCGGTGCTGTAATTAGAGTAGCTCACAGAGCTGCTTTAATTAAAGCGCCCAGAGCATCTCATGTATCAGCATCCCTGCGCTTAAAAATGGTGGCACGGTGGCTTACTAAAGCGTGTTCGATGAGCTTCAGTTAAAGCGCCCCCACCACCGTTTTTAAGCATGGGGACGCTGATGCACATGATGCTGGAGTCTGCTGGAGGGCAGTAATTACGCTCCAGCTGACTCGATTAACTAAGCCTGCTTCGACGCACTGTAATTAGAGTGTGTCAGAGCAGCCTTGCTGCTCGTGTACGGGCGCCCAAAGAGCTCACTGTACATCTCTAAGGGCCAGCAATGTAAGGACACAGCTAGGTGACAAAGCACAAGTGACAACTTCCAGTTGCTGCTGTAATTGTGAACAGGCGACCTGCCAGTAGCAGTCACATTTTCTCACGTGGCCTCCCCCACAAGTTGGTGCCCAGAGCAGTTGCCCCTACTGCCCCATGTCCCCAACCTTATACTACTGTTAAGGGCAGACACGAGTGACACAAATCTGGACACAAGGAGGCTGTGTTTGTGCATATGTGCATCCATGTTCTGGAACAAAATCCTTCATCCTGCTCTATACATTAGCATTACGGATCCTGTAAGACCAAAGGGCACGTAAATCCCCAAAAAGCCACACTGCACACAATAAGCCTTTTGTACCTACGAGGTATACGTTCACCAGCATGCAGAAGGACCAGCCCAGCATGGGAGGTGGACAGGGATGGGGGGTGTTTGAACTCCTCCCTATTTACCTGATATATCTGACTGATCTGGGCTGCGATGAACTTGGCCTTACAGACTATTCCATCAGTCCACTGTAGCTGAACCACCTCACCCTCTGGAGGGGGTCCCATTTGGACGCAGTCTCTGCTCTGAAGACAACACAGAGAAGAAAAGTTAGAAAAACAACGGACATGTGCTTGCACCGATCACTAGTCACACAGTTCTGCCTGAAAAAGTGAGGGTGAATGACCTGGCTAGGACTGCATGGTGAATCAGTGCCAAACTGTGAATGGCACCTAAACTCCTAGCTCCAGCTACTCAGTACATTCCCTCCCTATGACCTGTTTACTATGAGAAACCAAAACTGCATGCAAGCCATCTGTTTCCCCCCAACACAAAGGGCAGACAAAGAGAGAGATGGTTCAGATTAAAATATGCAAATAGCTGACATGACAGAACAAACTGACTGCATTGTGCAAAGTCATCAATCAGCACATGCTGACGACAAGTCTTGGAAAATGAGTAGAAGAAAGGAATCCAGGTGGTAATCAATAAAACCATAATTCTGAAGGAGCTATATGAATATCATATGTATTGGGTATGCAACTAGCACTATTTTTTACATCTCCTATAAAAAATTCATTAGTTTTCTTTATTGTGCTTTCCTATGATGTACCAAGAATGTATCACTGCATTTTACAGAATGCGGTACAATTATAGAGGAGTCTAGAGAGCGTCTTACTGTAATGCTTTCTGGATACACATTGTCACTGTAGGAGCCATCATCAAAGTTGACCTCGTAGAAGGTCTGTGTTGTCATGCCAATCACTTTACACCTGTAGTAAAGTCCGTTTCGGTTCTTTGTGATCACTGTCTGACCCAACGATATCTCCCTCCGAAACTGGATCTATGGAACAGAGGAAAGCCGCCGGTCAGGGATCGTGAGTCATGACAAAAGACGTAGAGGAGCAGCTTTTAAACAGAAGACACTCACGTTGTGGTTGGCTGCTTTGTGTTTGAAGCAAGTGATGGACACAACGTAGGGCCAATCATCTGGCTCCATGGGTACCCCTGCGGCATGGGCGCAGGTCACGTGAAAGGAAGTGGAGCAGTGCTCGTAGGAGCACTGAATGCAAGCACCCAACACCTTCTTCATCCGCTCCCGACAGTATATGCATTTCTGCAGAGAAACACAAAATGACATAATGCAACAGAGAGATGTTATTCGACATCCAGCTACCCTTGTATCGTTCTCATTTATATAGCAGAGCCCAAGGGCCTCAACCAGAGGAGGGGGTGCCCACACACACACACACAAGGGTAGTCAAATCCTTTTCAACTTGCTTACTGAACTACCTGCCCTTTCTCTGAATTCAAGCCAAGAAGCGTGAGCAGACACAGAACTACTGTCCACGTGAACAGCAACAAGATGACGACATCTTAGTCTTACCAGCATCCATCAATAATTCAATCCAGCAGACTCGTGTTGGACAGCACAGTCGTCCCAAATTCAATTTGAGACCATATTCACTAGTGGGCAACATTATCCACATTCCTCTGCTAGGATTATGAGAAAGCTTCTCCTTCCATTATACACCTGTTCTCCAGAGATTTGTAACATGCATCCATTTTAATCCATATGCAGCCGAAACTTGGCAGTCAAGTGGCTGGAAGAAAAATTTTCAAGGCAAAAAATATTGCTGCTTTAAACATCAAGCGTGCCCTGGTCCCACAGTGCTGGGAGCGAGCCTGACCTGCCAGTGGCAGTCTCCCCTTTCTTCCAGATTCCCACTTCCATGCAGACTGATGATCAACCTTATCAGCCGAAATCCTCAAAGCTGCCTGAAGCACTTTGGCACTGAACTGCCACTGAATTTTCAAGGGGAACCAGGCTCATTGGGAATCCCCTTAGCTTGGGTTTGTAAGCTTTTACCTCTAGAAAAGCCAGCACAGGTGGACCGCAGAATTTCACCCTGCCTGGGCCTCCGACCAAGGTAACTTAATGAAGATGGGATTTCGCATTTGGGAGGTAGGATGGCACATAACTCCGGAAAAGCAACCCATCTCTGGAAAGTTGTTCGTTAAAATAAGTGGCAGCTGTTTGAAACTTCTCAGATGAATAAAATCCCGAGGAGATCGGGTTCGCATGCACGTGACCCCTACACAGTTACGTAAAACCTTTATTATCGACACATGGAAGTCATTTCCAAAAGTTAACGTGCAGAGGCTGGGACAAGGCAGTCACCTCTGTTTTCAGGTAACTCTCTCCTAAAGACCATTGCATTATCTTGCTCTTGACCCCGCTCCCCGTTCCTTCTACTCATCTCCACACCTGGATCTCATGTTTTCACTATAAGCGAGAACCGTCCCCTGCAGCTTCTACCCTTGGTCTCAGGGTTTCTTCCCCCTTCTCAATCCTCATTAAATTGAGGTTGTTTTGATCCTCTGCACTCTTAGGACCTTTCTCCTCAGGTCCTGGGACCTCCCAACCCAACTTGTACAGTAGGGACACAATATCACATCCACTGCAATGCAGAGGCAGAGAAATGGGGCAGCCTGCCAAACACCGCACCTTGAGTCAATGGTAAAGCCTTAGACAGGGCTCCGCTGTCCCAACTCCCTGCCTAAGACAACTATTTCCTCCGATTATTGAAAACCAAAGAATGCTGCACTGCAAACCTCTTCCCAAATCACTCCAAAGAATCTCCCATTTCAATAGGACTTGTAATACTGTCGTGCCTCAGGGCCTGCACCATGCAAGGAGCTGCAAGACCAGTAAAAGGCCATCTTTATCCACAAAGAATACCGTCTTCTCCCCACCACAACCTGAGAAAGGAAGAGCTGAAACCTTGCTGTCTCCTACACCCCTTCGCCTCCCCTTCACCAAGTCCCCACATCAGTAAAACTCCTGCATGTGGACACAATGAGCCCAATTCACCTCTAGCGTCGCTCAGTCAAAGGCCGTCTATCTATACCAAGGGTGAATTTGGCTCTGAGCTTTTACTCTGAATTTCCTGGCTTTTGTTAGATTAAGTCGGTCCCTTAGTGTTCCCTGAATATGGTTTTTGGTATTTAATAAGCTACGCCTTTATCACTCTGTAAACCATGTTCAAAAGCCAGATAAGCACCGCAGCAAAGTGTGCAGCAGGAACACAGCACTGAGAGCAAGTCAATAGCAATGGGATCTCATTATTAAACTGTCAATACCTAATTCTCTCACCAGCAGGGAAAAGCACTGATATACAATGTGCTCGATACTGCCTCTCAAGGGAGCATTAACCCTCGAGTATCAGGCAGTGGCTTTCACCGGTGCAAATATATGCTTTCAAGCCCGAGGCGATTAACATGCATCTAACGGCATGCCAGCGGCAGAGCGGCTCTCTAGGACGGGAAAGTTTAGACAGATCAAACATGATCAGAGGACAAAGTAAAATATAAGCGATGGGACCGTTGCAGTGCGGGGACTGGTGGAAGGAGGAGAGCAGGAGCAGAAGACCTGGAGGTGGGAGACCCGGGACTGGCAGAGCTGTGATGGCTATGTATTATGGGGAAGACACACCAGACAGCTTCAGAAGATGGCAGGGGAGGGGAGGTGGGAAGAGAAAGAACGACTAAGGTAGGGGAGGGAGAAAAAAAACCAACCCACTCAGAATTAATGCACGCCAAAAAATCAGATCATAGCCAAGAGTAAGAAATGGACTGTCTCCTGAATGATGAACACTACAATTCATTTACTCTACTGAGGGATGACAGCTAATTATTCTGGATTTCCACGTCATAAATAATTTACACACGCAGGCCCGCAATACGCCATTAATCAGGAAGCATGCAAACTGCATTCTTCATAACGACGGAGCGCGCTCGGATGAACAGAGAAGTCTGTGCTTTAAGAGAGGCACGGCCTTGCTGCCTAATGTGGGTTTTGGGGCAGGGGGAAGACCAGGTAACTTTCAGAGAGGATATCCCTTGTTCCTAAACCATGCCTGCATCAGTACCGAGGCCTTCCCATAGTTTCCTAGTTGTTAGGGGCTGGAAGGGACCTTACGATCGTCGGATCCAGCCCCGCTGAAGTCCCCTCTGAGTCTTCTCTTCTCCAGCTTCGGGGTGGAGCTAGGGAAGACAGGTGTCGGCCAAAAGGATGTGGATTCATCTTCTGCCCCAACCCTTCTGCAACTTTAGTCCATTTACCACAAGACCCTACAACCTTTGCATCATTCTTCATCCTCTTCCCCACCTCACCCATGGGCCTGCATGATCCCCGCTCCACAATCCTATCACTGCCTCAATGCCCCCTGCCAAGACATTTGCAGCCATCACGTTGCCTCCTCTGCTACCTACCTTCATCATTTCCTCTCCTTTTTCTATGGCTCCCCCAGGTCCCCACCACACGCAAAATACTGCCATTCACTGCTGATATACAAAGAGAAATGACTACAAATGCCCACTGTTGCACAACGCCACTGGCCGCTCCATTTTGTTTCAAGATTCAGCCACAAACTTCTCATTGTCAAAACCCTCCAGGGACTTCACAGACATTACAGACATTAGGGGCTGGAAGGGACCTCACAAGATCATCGGGTCCAGCCCCACTTGCTGTACCCCATCTAGCAAACCTCTGTGCTCATCTAACTCACGATTCTTCAGTGCTCCCCATATAATCTCATCATGCTGCTGATTCGAGGGCCGCCTTCTTTGCCTGCTGCCATCCAGGACAAAGCCTCCATGAATCTCTCTAGCTCATTAACATTCCCCTCCAAATTTCAGTTCGAAACATAATTTTCCTTCCCTTTGCTATGACAGACTATAAAAATAAAGCTGCACTGTACGTGGTAATGTTGCCAGCACATTATTGTTTCCATCAGGCATCATTGGTGTGTGCATATATATATTATAATGGCACTTGCAATTAAGGATGAACACAGCAGAAGGAGGGATGGTAGCAATCAGACCATCACTGTGCATAGTAACTAACCTGATGGCACTTTGGGGTGGGGGGTAAATGGGGCTGAGTGTCAGCCTGCTTCCGACAGCCTGCCTCTAGTCTTGACTGCAGGGGCATCTGTAGGGCGATGCTGGCATCTTGTCAGAAGCCTGAGAGCTGCACCTGTGTCCAGAGATATCTGAGCCTCTCCACAGTGCCTGCTGGCAGAGCAATGTGTGATCTTGGCATATATTACACACAAGTTAAATATTATGCCTCCAGCAGCCACTGGGAGAGGTTGGCCTGATTAAGATGGGAGGGGTGCATATGGACTAACACTTTCAAAATGAGGTACCTGAAGCCAGGCTTTTCAGGGGTGTTATGACAACCCGTGCTTCCTGCTGACTTTTCTGGGACCTACAGGTGCCGAGGACCTTTGGAAAACAGGCCGTTTGGCTGGTTAGCTGTGAAAAGTCCTTTACCTCCTCTGAGATACAAAGGAAACCAAAGGCAAAGAATTCTGGCCCTGCTAGACATTCGCTCGTGGAATTAAAGCCACTGGACACATTGGCAAGGCTGTTGGTCACTGTTCAGGACTGCAACAGCATGAGTCCTTGACGGAGATTTGTGCACAGACCTCGTCTGAGACTAGCAAGAGCTTCAGACTGGGTTGGAGGTGCGCTGGCAGAGTTTCACGTCAGCTAAAACCATATCTTCCCATGCTCTGTTCAGATCGAAACTGCACGGTCAGTCATGTGCCTTCAGTCCCAAACTGCCTTTTGCTTGAGATGCCAAACCCAGTTAATTCAGCAAGTCTGGCAAGTCCCAGAAGCAGTCTCGATGCCCATAACGCAGTGCTTTCCAAACATTTCCTGAGCATGACCCCATTTCTTCAGCATGGCCCCTCGCTCCCAACCCACAGGCCCCCCACGCCTGTGATCCCATCCACTGATGTTGCGACCCTATCTAGGGTCATGACCAAAGTCTGATCGTCACTGCAGCAGAACACAGATTTGACCCAATATTGGATAGCAGGGGTGCAGATAAAGATTTTTTGGGCCAATTTCGATAGCCGATTATTAACCAGCCACATCGGCCAAAACAGATCCGACAGCTGATATGCAGCCCAGCAGCTTGGAGAGCAGCATCTGGCTGGTAAGTCTGTGCAGGGAAGGGGTGTGGGAGGGGTGGCCAGATTGAGGCCCCCCCACAGCGAGGAAGGGAGTGGGGCTGGGGCAGAGCAGGGCATGGGGGAAGCATCTCCCCACCGCTGTGTGCATCCCCAGGGGAGGCATGGGGGGGCATGTGCTCCCCATATTTGTGTGCAGGGCGTGGGCAG